CCCTTCGTCATTGTTCCATCTCAATATAAGAATCATGCAGAGATTCACACACTTGAAATGTCCTTTATGCCCAACGCCAGCACAGGATGTGCTCACTTCTTTTTTAGGTCTACAGCTACTACTTTCAGTCCTTTTTTGTTAGACCAGATCCCTAGCCCAGTGTGGCTTCTAACGCTCTATGTACCCAAGGATGACCTTGAACTTTTGATCTCCTGTCTTTACCTCCTGAGTGCTGAGGTTATAGGCACACCCTGTTTATAAGTGCTGAAGATCCAACCCAGGGTTTTGTACATGCTAAGTAAACACCCTGCCAAGCAACCTATGTCCTCAGTCCTGACTTTTAAAGTAGCCCCCCTCCAGAACAATTTATTGAAATGCTATAGTACCAACAATACACAATGCTGATATTTAAAGAAAGAGAGAAATTCTGACAGGAGAGGCAGAATTCTGACAGCTGATTGGGATCTACCATTCTTTCAGAAATTGCTTCTCAGACTCTATGGTGAAGGACACTTTTCTCTTATTACTACATGCAGAACACTGACCCAATTTTTTGTTCTTAGACAGATGCTATAGTTTGAATGCGTCTCCTCCAAAAATCATGTTGAAACTTGATCCCCACTGCTCTGGTATTAAGAGGCTGGGCCTTCAAGAAGCCAGGAAATCAGGGCAGGTCAGAAAGAGTCATTCTCTCTGGTTCTTCAGTCTTCCACCTCATGAGGACATGGTGGCAGGGAGTCATTTTGGAAACAGAGAACAGCTCTTACAGACACAAGGGCTGGCACCTTGATCTTGATCTTCTCAGCCCCAAGAACTCTATGATACATAGTCTCTTGTTCTTTGTAAACTATCCAGTCTTGAGCATTTTGTTATAAGAGCAAGAGTAGAATACAACAACAGGCCCTAAGTTGCTGTAAACTTGCAACAGAAGTTCTAAATACTTCTTGTCTTTCTCTTACACACATACACACACACACACACACAATCACACACACACAATCTCTCTCTCTCACACACACACACACAATCACACACACACAATCACACACACACAATCACACACACACGCAATCACAGACTAAGAACAGTGGTTGGATCAGCATCAATTCACAGACCACTTCTGGAGTGACCATACCCAAGAGCATCTTTGAGTATTCGTAATTAGAATTCATATATCATAAATATTGAATCTCCGATGCAACGAAGTCTACCCAGACCTCTACCCATCATTCTGAAAAGTAAACATTTAAAAAGTAAAAGTTAATGATAACAAACAAAAGTGGATATTTGCAGCCCTCAGCAAATCTATTCTTTTTTAAAAAATTATTGTTTCGGTTCTAGTTGTCTTTTCAAACAAACTGTAGGGCCCCTGCTCTCAGAAGTGCTTTGTACAGTGATCAGCAGGCCATGGTGGTGGTGAAACAGTCCTAGAATAAAGCATCTCACTAGTGCTGAACACAAAATAGGAGCACAGGCTCTCCCATGAGAGGATCTGATATGAGCTCCCCACCTTCTTACTTCCTAAATGTGGCTTGAGGCCAGTAACTGCTATCATTTTGATCTTGAACATCTGCCAAAGAGCCAAGTGCCAAAGGCTTGGTCTCCTTGGTGGCACAATGAGAAGGCGGTGGAACATGTAAAAAGTGGCCTAGTGGTAGGTCTTGAGGTCCCTGAGCAAGAATCCTTGAAGGAGAGCATATGATCCTGGCCCCTTCTCAGCCTCTTCTGCTCCCTGACCATGGAGTGAGTAGTTTTGATCTTCTGAGCACCCCGGCATGACTTGTCACTGTGAGGACTCATGGACCAAAACATAAAACTGGGCCAGAGTAAGAGCAAACCTCCTCTTGTCATAAGTTGATTATCTATTATTGTTATAGTAATGGAGAGCTGACTGGATACAGTCACTTAACCCCAGGGTTCCTATTTAGCCTAAAACAGGGGGCATGATAGGATCAGGAGGGTAAAGGAGAATTCTGAGCTCTCAGCAGCTATCATCTACACTGTCTACAAGTTTGGCCAATGGTGTTCCACCCATAAGAACTGAAAGGAGTCTGGTGTAGCTCCCTGATTCCCTGTTCCCAGACTTGGAGGCAGGATGGATTGCAGGAGACTCACAGGGCTGCATCTCCATCACACAGCCAAGTTGGAAGAGTCAGAAAATGATGAACACAGCCTTTAGGGATAGAAACTGAGCCTATCCCCCAGTCCCACTGAGCACCAACTGAATCTATGTCTCTTCCATCCAAAACCATAGCTGCTAACCATTTCCAATCTCAGTGTCCACAACAGAACTCTATTTACACTATTTTGAAAGCCCCTCACCATCAACTGACACAGCTTTTCGGCTGAAACCAATAGGCTCCTTGATCCTGAGTCCACTTTACTGTTGGACAACAAAAGCTTTAACTTATCACTTGGACCTTCAGGAGCCCAAAGACATCAGATATAGTCCCAGTTCTGTCTCTTGACTCTCTTGACACTTGAATAAGTCTCTCAATCTGCTTAGGTGCCTGCCAGTAACAGGCAGGTTGTCAATATGCTGCCTCCCTTATTGGGAAGAAGGAAGGCTCAAATTTTATTGATGATAGGAACAGGGCAAAGCAGAGGAATGGGTAAGAGATGAATGGAGAGAGGGAGAGAGAGAGGGAAAGAGAGAGAGTTCCTTTTTACATGGCATTCATCCTTGCTGTACACAGTAAGCCCTTTGAAGATAAACTTACAACATCGGTATTCACAACAAAGATGATATTAATGGGCCAGAGAGATGGCTCAGCATGTAAGGCACTTGCCACCAAGTCTGATGACCTGAGTTCAATCCCTGAACCCATATGGTAGAAGGAAAAAACCAACTTCTTCAAGTTGTCCTCTGACCTACATGCATGTGTACACACACACACACACACACACACACACAAATACTAATAAATAAATAAATGCAATAAATACATACTAAGGAACAGGCAACTCCTTGGATCTTTCCCAACTCTGTGAAAGCTCAGTCCTGAAACCCCTGCAGTTCTGAAGAGATGACTTTTGGAGTCTTTGCTTATGGCTGGCATTATCTCCAAGGCCCCAAATATTATAACTAACCCATTCATTTGGGGTACCCCCACACCTGCTCACCCCAAACAGGACCCAACAGCAGCTCCAACCTCTTATTTCTTCCTGATTCAAACCCTTATAGCTTTCTGTTTTGTTGTTATGAGTCAGGCAGTTTACTCCACACTTCCAATTCTCTGGAAAGACTTTGAACACTAGAATTTTCACACTCCAAGAACATCATGTAAGCAAGGGCATAGGAGGCCATCTCCATGAGAGCACTGACTGCTCCCTCCAGCATGAAGGCCAAGTAACTTTGATCTCCTTAGGTGACAGGGAGCTCACTTTCTCTAGGCAGTTTGAACAGTCAGCAAGTTCTCCTTCATCCCCAGTGAACTGAGAGATACCTCCCTCCTGCTCTTAGGTTTCATTCAGTCTTTGCACACACACATGTAGTCAGCAAAATATCCCTTTACATAGTGACCCAAGAAACTTCTGCTTAATGTAACTTCTCAGTTCTCAGTCAAGGCTCGTGCACCTCTGGCACACTCTGATAGGCTACCCCAGACTCAGGATCATCTGGGTTTGTGGCATTTCCTCCTAAACTGTCGAACTCTTCATTCCCACTCTAGATAGGGATGTGGCCTCCCAATGAGCTTGGGCTCCCTGCTCAGTGGTCCAGACAGCACAGAGATCCACACACCAACAGAGCTAACTAATGATTGTCTACGCTAGGTGACCAGTATACATGTATTTCCTGTCACTTCCCCCATATCCAAGCTAGTCCAAGGTCAGAGGAGAAGGAAAAACACAGCGCCCAAATACGATGAGCCCCTCCAAAGCCAGTCTTCTAATAAGCCTGGCATGCTGCTTGCTGATATCTTCAAGCAGGACCCCGCCCTCTCTTCCTCCTCTGACTTGCCCCCTTCCTAATCAAGAGCCCCTTCCATATATTTATGGCCTGGATGTCACTATTTCTAAGAATAAGGAAAGTCACACAATGTACTGGCCAGGTCCACATCTCTATAATTTACCATCACCTAACTTTAATCTTCAAAGGCGATGTGATCTTCAGTTTATAGACATGGAAATTGAGCCGTGACTCAAAACCTCTGACTTCATATCTGGTGCTCTTTATTCTGGATCCTATTTATGCTGGAGCCTACAAATCCTTGGCAGAGAAAATTTTTGAAGGTTAAGCTTTGAGTATCAAGTGAAGAGTGAGACATCAAGATAAAAGCAGAGGGATCGATAAGCTATTTCTGGTTCTGCTGTGAACAAACTTAGAGTTGAACTTCCTGGTCCTCAGGTTCCTTGTTCATAGAATCAGGAGACGGAATCAGACAACCCTGCAGTTCTTTCCCATTCAGCTGTCCTTTGTCTCCAGGCCCGTCTCCGCCTTGCTGCTAAAGTTAGGCAGACAACATTGCTCAAATACCTTTCATTTTTTGGTTCTCAAGGCTTTAAACACTCCAAGATTAGCTAGATATTCAACATTTGATTAACTATCCACCTAGCCTGTCAAGAAGGAATGAGCCTGACATCTATTCAATGGTCACGTTTAGCCAGTTCATTCTCTCTAACGAGCAAGTAAGACAGAGCCCTGTGAGGAAGGCCATTACACCAAGAAGGACCATCTTCAGAGCCACAAATTCTTACAACTGTGGCTCTCAGCTCAGGGGACATCTGATAATGCCAAGAGCCAGCAGGGACAGGGACACTGGTTTCTAGTGGACAGAGACCAAGGATGCCACTAAACATGCTACAATGCATAGGACAGCCCATCAGCACATTTGTCTGCCTCACAATGTCAACAGCATCTGGCTGAGAAATCTTGCCTTCAAATGCCAACTTAAAGGATAGCCCCCAACACCGTTTAATTCTTTCAGCTGATCTGGTCCATGTAGAAGGCTCATCAACTTGATACATCCAAAAGAACTAAAGATCTGAGCATCTCTTACCGTGCAAAGAAGGAAGCAGCCACGGAGGTGCCTGTGGAAGTCTCGTTGGCCACACAGGAACTCTGCGGGGCTGGGACACTGCTGGCTGTTGGCTTGTCGGCATTGTAGCGGTTCAGCACAGACTCCGTCAGTCCCTCTCGGCCAGTCTCTGTCATCAGCTGGGATATCTGACAAAGAAAATGGCACAAACTCATTACCTGTGGCTCACAGCATTTCTGACCACTGCCAGCAGCTGTCTGGAGAAGGCAGTGGGTTTAGGTCACACCCACACTCCGTTACCTGTAGGTGCTCAGGGCTTCTATGCCATTTTCCAGCATGTTAGCTGGGACACTTCTTCGTTCCCATTTAAAATAATGGAGTAAAATAACCCTCTGACATTGTAGGCTGCATTATACCTATGTCTGCCCTCCATGGGAAAAGGAAAGTCACCTATTAGCCATACATTCTTTGCAGCCTGAGATCAGAATGGTCACATGAACTAATGCTTATTTCTCACCAGGAAGAGCCCCATGTGCTCGCAGAGGGGTGGTCAGAGGTTCAGTCTGATGAAGGCAGAAGCAAGTCTACTAGTAAAGACCGGAGAGCCTGCACAGCGGCAGCCGCTGGAGTCAGCCTGGGAACAGGAGCCAGAGCACAGGCCATGGAGGAACGCTGCTTACTGGCTTGCTCCCCTGGGCCCTGCTCAGCCTACTCTCTTATGCAACACAGGCTCACCTGCCTAGGGGTGGCACCACCCACAGTGGGCTGGGCCCTCCCACATCACACAACAATCAAGAAGATGCCCTCAGACATGGCCACAGGCCAGTTCAACGGAGGCAATTCCCTAATTGAGGCTCCCTCAACCCAGGTGTGTCGAGTTGACACTATCCAGCACAAGGACTTTTTCTTAATTGGGTTAAGTGAGGTGGGAAGACCCACCCTGAATATGGAGTGTAAATTTCAGCTGAGCACTAAAGATGCATGTTCTCCTCTCTCTCTGCTCCCGACTGTGGATGAGATGTGACTAGCTGTCTGCAGTTCCTGCCACCTTGACATCCCTGCCATGGTGGACTGTAACCTGGAATTGTGTGCAGAAAACCCCTTTCTCTCCCATGTTGCTGTTGACAAGGTGTTCTATCACAGCAACAGAAATGGAACTAAGGCATATGCTGTTTCATTTTTGTTTGTTTGATGCCAGGTCTCATGTAGCCCCGGCTGGACTTGAACTTACTACATAGCCAAGACTGGCACCATTTTATTTATACCAATTGATTTTGTAACATAAGACTGAGTTGAGAATCTAGTTTGCTATATCCCCAAACATGCTATAAAGAGCCTCACTTCTGGGCACAATGAGGATGTGATATAGAAATGTCCTTTTGGGAAGTGCTCATCATAAATATAACAATAATTATGAAAGAAAAGTGTATGTGTGTTGTGTGATTACTTCAAAACTTCAATCTACTTCCAAAGGGAAAATACTAGTTTAAAAAAACCATCAAACAAGGATAACTCCAGTTAAATAAAAAACGTTTTTGACCTGCTAGAACCTTTAAACGATACCTGGAAAGTGTTCCTGTTGCTTAGAAGATGCAGGCGCGATAAAGCAGGACCCGCTTCCCCTTGGTAACGAGCAGGACAGACAGCCAATGAGTGATCCCACGTTAACACCGGGACATAGAAACATTTGTACCTCTCAGTGTTAGTGAAACAACCGTTTGCTCCGCATTTCATTGACTCAAAATGTTGGTCTGCTTAAATTCTTGCCTTAACTTGGAAAGCTTGGCGTTATCCAGTGGAAATTCTGCCAACACTCCCTTTCTTACTTTCATTCATTTTACGCACCAGAAGGAAATGTGATGCCAGGCAGAGCAATTGGAGAGGCAGCAAGATGGAGGCAGCCTGGAAAATGATGTACCCCACTGCCATCCACAGGAGCTGCTGACTCTGCAGTACCCTGGGGTCACCTCTCTGGGCTTCCTCTGCTGTCACCAGCTGCCACTGTCCCAGAGGGGATAGTGAAGAGTTGTTCTCTCCAGCTAATGGGGACATGATGCTCTCCTGAACAACATCCAGGAACAAAACCAAACCCTCAAATCCATGCCACCTTGTTTTCATCAAAAGCTATTTGTGTAAAGTACACATCTGATTTTCCTTCCCAGTGACATCTGAGGAAGTCAGCAAGTGGATGTGTTGCAGAATTAGTGATGCCTTGCACGCTGTGGGGGGTTCACTGAGCAGTTCTGTCAATCTTCTGTTGAAGGTTCCTTTTCATTACTGTATTTCTTTTATAATTTATCTTATGTCTTTTTGTTTGTTGTTTATTTTTGCAGTGCTAGGGATGGAATACTGAACCTTGGGCATGCTAGGCAAGTGTCCTACCACTGAGCTACATCCCAGGCAGTTACAATATTTAACCTACAGTTAGAAGAAGGAATAGTATTCTTCAGCACCCACGCATATCAACTGTACTAGCAGGGGCCCTGCAAATACATAGTAGCCACTAGATGTATACAGTCAATGACAGGCACCTCACAGAGGCACAGGTGTCTGCTTGCTTCTAGATCCCCAAATCTGGTGTGGATGGATACGGACAACCCCTTGTGGCTTTCAAAAATTCTACTAAACAACTGAATCTCAATCCATGGAGGACTTCCCTCAAAAAGAGCTCTTGGCTCCCTCTACCCCAACTGAGATGAGATCTCTTACTTTGAAAGAACTGGAGAATCATGACCATGGACACTAATATCCCCCAAGTATACAGAATTATTGAATAATCATTGCTTTTCAAAGTTGGAATCACGGAATGTCTTAGAGCTCAGGGAAATCTCCAAATCATCATCTTCCAAATTTTTCACAGAAGGGCCTGCACATTCAGTTTGTAGCTAGGAATAAGATTCAAATTCCTACACCACTGCTAGTCCATCTGTCCCTCCCTCCCTCCCTCCCTCCCTTCCTACTTTCCTTCCTTCCTTTCTCTATCGCCCCCATGTCTTCTAATTAAAAAATGGCATATATACTCCTTCCTACTAACTACAAAGTTTAAAAATTAGAAAAAAAATCAAAGAATAAAACATATGTATGCATCTACTATCATCATTGATAAATACTTATTTATCCTAGAAGATGCTTTCCAAAGGAAGCCAAAACTGAAGTTGAAAGCGAAGCTCGCGGCTCTGTGAGGCACCCTGCCACTCATCCCAGTGGCTCCTCTCTGAAATGACAGATGCCAGCAAGGACCATTGATATGGCCAGAGGCTGAGGAACTCTAAACCTTTCCCTCCACACTCTGGACTGCCAATGCAGAGACGGCACTTCCCCCAGGGGCTGCTCCCAGAGACACTCATCACCCTGCCTCCCACTTCTTGGCTCCTTGCACATGCCATTGCTCTCTGTCAGGACCGCTTCTGCTTTTCCTTCAGTGTCTGTGCTTTGGTTTACACTCCGCAGGTTACACATCATGGGACAACAAACTGGGGCTGGTTTATACACTGTATCCCAAGGTCAACACAACGGCACACAGAGATAGTGAAAACATGTTTGAGGCGCAAATCCAGACAATTTTTATTTTCTACTGCTCACATTTATCTGATTAAATTTCTTTTACAAAGACTTAAATAAGTAAGAGCATTCTGTTTCCAAATTTCATTATTTTGCTATGTGTTTAGCCATACATAGTGGCAAAGCACTTGCCCAGCTTGTATAAGGCCTTGAGCGCCATCCCAACACTGAAAACAAAAGCCATCTTTATCGTTCTGTTCTCTGATGATAGAATGCTATTTCCCCAATTTCATCACTGCTGAAGTACGGTGTTTTGGTTCTTCTCTATGACAGTTTGGGGATAAAGTTCTAGTCCCCCCCTCCCCTCTCCGACCCCCCTCATTGTTGGTTTTTTTTCCAGTGCCATAGATTGCCCAGGTCCTCATTCATGCTGGGCAAGCACTCTCCCACTGAACCCCACTCCAGACCCTTCTTTGTCAGCTCAGTTGTGCTTTCACTCAGTGCAGGAACAGCCATGTACTGAGGACTCAGCTGTGCCAGGCACTGAGATAGGCACATGTGCAAACATGTCTTGGTATCTTGAATATCTTCAATATTTACTTCGTTTCTTTGCCAGTTGTGTACAAGTCTCTAGCAGATAGCATCTTGTACAAAGACAGTCTTCAGGATGCTAGTGTAGGCAGCCTCTGAGCTGCCTTCTAAAATCCTTCTAAAAATCAAAGGAGCCAGGTCTTCTCAGTAGAAATCAGTGGTAGCTGCTTTAACTTAACAATTAAAGTCATATCAGTTCCAGGGATTCAGAGAGAGGATGCTTGTTTATCAGATAAGTTATTCATCACTACTAGAATTCTGGCTTTAGGGTGCTGGGTCTGGGTAGGTGACTTCTCACCAAGGGGCTACCATGTTTGTCACCAAGACACTTATTACCAAGAACTTAGTCCCTTCAACCTTGAAAACTATCACTAGGACAATACCATCAGTCATAAATAAATTGCCTCAAGACACGAAGGGGCAAATAATTACCCTGTGGATGAGATTGTATTAGGAGAGATCTGCCCTATCCAAATTCCTTCTGTGGCTAGGAATTAGTGATAGCCTGTCCCAGAACTGTACATGTTAAACAGAGGGATAAAGTCCTCAAAGGCACCACCATTAACACAATGAAGGATGCTGATACCTACTAAGTAGCTCTGATAAGTCCTTGTCCCTTCTTTAAGACTCATGGGAGATAGTCAATGTACAATTATCTAGACAGGTTGGCTCTTGCTCTCAGTTCACAGACAAGGTAACAGAGCTGCAAAGGAAACATGATTCACCCAACATCACACAGCATAATCGAAATACAGGCCCTCTCTCCGTTCTTTTTTCCTTCCTCCGACCTCACTGTACTTAATCACACTTCATACCTCTGTGACCAAAGTGTATTTAATAAGCTGAGGACTGGACAGATTTTGGTAGCTATGGAAAGTGAACTTCGCTTAGTCCGTGACTTCATGAAGTGTGTGTGTGTGTGTGTGTGTGTGTGTGTGTGTGTGTGTGTAAAAAAAGCTATAGAAAGTGAACTTCGCTTAGTCCCTGACTTCATGAAGTGTGTGTGTGTGTGTGTGTGTGTGTATGTGTGAATGCTACCTATGACTTGCTAATAGGGAGGTATCCAATGTGCTTTCAAGTAAATCTTCAGGTGGAA